ATATATCAAATATTACATTTAATATATCTTCGTGCACCAAACAACGAATAGATCAAATTGGTCATCATTATCGATATTTAAATTGAATCGGAATAACAACTGATTGGAATTAGAGTTATAAAAAGTTTAAATTTGTGAAATTAGAATTTGTGAAAATTAGAATTTCAAGTTAATTTAATCATCTACATTATTTGATATCGTTCTTCCTCGCATTAGGATCGATTAAAATGGCATTGTTAACGATCGTAATAACATTGGTCATTTTTAGGTCAACGAATTTGATTACATAAATTACTTGATACGAGCATCTCTTTTTACCACAATTTTTTAAAATTATGTAATCCACGAACACGATAATGCTCTTCTCAACATATAAATATGAATATACTTTACCTGTTATCGTCGTTTTCATTATCATAAAACTGAGAATTTTCTACTCAATTTGCAACTTTGTTTCTCGCGTTTTATAATGGTTCTAAAGATTTTAAACGATTTAACGTAAAAGGTGTATCGTAAAATGAAGAAATGAGCAAAACCGTTAAACAACGCGGCAACCGAGTTATTATAATCGTCGTTTGTATTCGCGGATGAGCCAGAAACATAGACTTGCATAAGAACGAACAACGGAAGTCGGCAGTTCGACGTGGCTACCTGAAATTTTACATCCGGAAAGGGAAGTAAGATTGAATTGGCACTTTCTGGATCCGCGCCAGCTCGTCTCGCACTATACATCGCACTACTCGAATAGTCGTCATCTCGTTTGCCCGAGTCTCAAATTGAAGAATTCGATCGTTCCGGCAAGGCACTCTCTCGGTGTGTTTAAGATGCGCCTAGTTTCCTTTTTACTCACGCCGTTTCAAAATTATACTTATTTCATCGCGTTTCTGAACTTGTGTGTAGTTGACATAAAATACTTTAAATATCATATTCTACTCGAGCTATGCTCAGAATCATTTATTAAAAATCAGAATTCTTTGTTTTCCGAAATTAAAATGATTGCCAATGATTGTTAAAATTGCTAGAATTTATTTTTAAATATCATCAACTCAAGATGATATTTTTCGTAAATTTTTTTCTATTATTCCATAAACTTGTAGAGATATTTAGCGATTTTTGTATTAATTTCTAACACATCCAACAATCGCAAAAGATCCTTTCCTTCAGTCTTGATGATAATAAATCCATTCAAATCTGCGTCCCGAATAAACAAAGAAATTATCCTTGACTTGTTCATATATTATTAATATTAAGTGCGCGCATTGTACACAAACAATATATTTTTTTATACCTTGCTTTCCGACGATATGTGAGAATTTCCGCATTGAAACATATCGAAAATCGAACTGGACAATACTTTGTCGGACGCTTGCGCGCGGAGTGATTTTATATTGTGGTCTCTGAGTACGTGCAATGGTTTACCTCTCACCACCACTACCATTCCGCCTTACGAGCCTTATACTGCCCCTTAGTGCCCTTTAGTGTCCCGTGGAAAAGGCCATCGGGGGATCGCAACCGCTAAACACGCACTTAAACCAACCCTCATGTCTGTTCACCGAGATCAACGTTACATTTATTCTACGATCATTCTGTCCACCGTTTACCGCATTCAGGTTCGCGCGTATATCGAACGGAAAGTAATTGCTGCCGGAGTTACATCGATCGGTTATTCCGCTGGTGGGCCATTTTAGCCTTGCAAACATTTCCTGATTTCCCGATTTATCGTAAACGGCACATGCCATAATTTTACTGTAACAGAAATTTGGCGGTGGGAATCGATCGAATAGATACCTACGGCAAACGTAAAGAGGATAGCGGCGGTAAATATAAATGTAGAGAGAGAGAGAGAGAGAGAGAGAGAGAGAGAGAGGAGGAGAGAGAATTTAATTTTACATTAATTTTGCGAATTTTTCGAGAAACAAAATAAAAGTCCTAATTTCAATCTAAATTGAAATGAGCGGCGTATGAATTACAAAGATCTTTTTTTTTCTCTCTGGACACGCGGAACGCGCGGAACAAGGCGGGATATTTTATATCGCTTTGAACTTCGTTTGATATAATTTTGCATTCATTGCCAGGGAATCCGAATTATTTCGCAATCTCTCTGAAGTTGCGCTTGACGTCGTTAACGGGTACATTTACGCGCGAAAAAATTTTATCGCGTTTAACGTATTTCTACATTTTTCTGGCCTTCTGGATCGCTCGTCGAGGTGAGCTTCCGCGTATTATCGAAGAAAAATTCACGATATTTAATCCTCATCGATGCTGCAACGAGATTTTCATAGTTTCCTTTTATTCCTCATCGGCATCGTAAAGATCAATCGTTCATTCTCGCGAATCAAAGACGCACCGGTCAAGAAAAATAGCCGCTTAGTCAAGATATTAAAATACCAACTTTTTTTTTATCCTGCATATCGATACAGTATGATACCTCGCCAGGAAATTTTCTTTCCTTTCTTAAAGAATTCATTATTCTTACACACAAAAAAAAAGCTAATCAGTAATACAGTAGAAAAATTTAATTTAACATTTGCCATTATTAATTTTAACGCTTCTATCATAAATTACACAAGTTTCATTACACAGAAACTATTACATCAATATGTTTTTTCTAATGTTTTATCTTTTTAGAAAGTTCTTTATTATCATATTTCTATTTTATTAATATTTAATTAAATTTACGTATAAATATAATTCATATAATCATAAATCTCAATACACTCGGAAAAAAAAGTTGTACCAGCAATTAAAAATTTGCGTATAAATAACGCACGTCTCAATGTCTATGTATAATAAAGTCGTAATAAGAACAATTATAAAGTTAAATGAATCAAGAAAATATAATAATATTAATCATTTGTTAATAAATTATTAAATAAATTAATGTATTGTATACCGTATGTTTCAAACTTATCTCAATGATATTATCAATGACTCAATGACTTATGCCTACTTCACAAAATTTATTTAAACTGGAAAAAAAATGTAACGTCATATTCTATTTGTATAAAGTATATAACTAGGTAATTATAGTTGAGATGCTATTTCACTATCAATTAATAATTCACATGTATTGTCACGTGATTATATATATTTTTATTGTCAACTCAATATTACTTTTTATTTTATTTTAAAAACATAATTGCAAATACTTAAATCTCATAATTATCATAAATATGAATAGTTGCTAGAACTTTTGTTTTCGTCTCAATGTATATATATATATATATATTTCAGTCATTATGACTCAATAATAATGTCAACATTGTGAATTGTTAATGCTCACTTACAAATTTTTATTCAATTTACGCTCTATTGTATCGATCATCTGTTTCTAACGAAAACATAATCCCGATTTAATTCATTCCGTGTCTTTCATATTTATTTGCGATTGTGCAAAAATGCTTATACGGCGCTTGTCATCGCTCGTATAAACGAAACGTCACGAGCCCGGCTGGCTCGTGTATCTTAATGTTATAGCTGAACAGAAAATTTGTTTTTCTCACACGTATCTCATCGGGACGGTTTCAGTGATATTTGGTTTATTTGGAATTTCGTCGACCAGCCGCGCGTACATATTGGTCACACGCGCGCACACGACTGCCGGTTTTTCACGCTTCAACACAGGCAAATCGCGGGGGACCGCGTGCGCGTGTTTTTTTTCGCGGGGAAGGAGGAAAAAAGAGGGAAAGGAGAAAAAGGAAGGAACACGATGATTCGATGCGCAGCCAACGAAAATGTAAATTCACCGGCACCGCGGCCGGTGGCATGCACCCGGCCGGAAGTAAAAATTCTCCTCGGCGTTATTGTTCTTTGGTCGCTTGCCCGATATACGGCCTGCTCGTATCTCTTAAACGGAGAATTCTTCGATTTACCGATACTATTCCGCGCG